CATCTCTGCTTTCTTGTGCCCCTCCTTCAGTCAGGATTACAAAACCAATTTAATGATAACAAGCCATCTAGAAATAGCAGCAGGGGCCAAAAGGGGAGGGAACATCAAGGCTGCATCTGACCTAAGAGGGACGCCTGAGAAACAACAAGTGGGAAGAAGAGGTGATGCTTCCAGGTCACCTGTACCGAGGGAGCAGTGCAGGATGGGATGGGGCTGTGGAGGGGAGAACTCCCCGGGGAGGCAGAAGCTCGGTGGTGAGAAAGTGAGCATATTCACAGGGAGAGGGGCTACAGTCATAGCAAAAATGGGAGGCCCACTCTTCCTCCAGTTCCAGAGCTCAGAGAAGTGCGAGGCAGGGCAGCGGGGCAGGGGCAGTGGCAGGGAGGAGAGGACAGTGTGAAAACAGAGGAGGCTGCAAGATGGGAAACTTCCTGTCAGGAAATGACTGGAAGAGGTGGGATTAAATAACACGATGGGCTGCTGAGGGAAAGGAGAAGGGAAGCAAAAGCTCCACCACAGGAAAAGTGTGGCCTAAAACAAGGGCACCAGGGAGGGGTGAAGCTGCTAGGAGGGCGGGATCAAGGTACAGAACACCACCCTGAACACCGGCAGAGTGGTATGTGACCCCAGGGGAAATGACAGGGTTGGTAACCACAGTGGGTACTGGCTGCGAAGAAGGCGGTGTCCATAGCTTGGAAGCACCGAGCCGGACTGCAGAGGATCTGCTAAGAGTGCAGGTCTCAGTTTTCATTGGGAAGGGAGCGAGACAGGAATAGATAACCGAGCTGGGGAGGGCCTGGCCTCTGCAGCTGGAAGAAGGGAGTGTTACTACAGGACGTGCTGTCAGAAAGGTGTAAGAGCAGGAGGGTGTGAAGATAGCAAACCCAGCCCAGGTCCACGAGAGCAAACCAAGTGGGTGCTGCCCTGGACTTCCCGGGGAGGGGAATGGCTGGCAGAGTGTGAGGAAGGGTGAGGCCTTCAGAGGAGCTCAGAGCAGGAGGATATAATGTGCTGGGCGCATGGGATAGGGGCTGGGCATCTGAGCAGGGCTAATTTGAAGCAGGGAAGGTTACTATGTCCCTTTCCCTGGACCCAACAGGGCAGCAGACGCCCTCCTAAAGGCAGTGGCAGCCAGCAGTGTCGCGGAGAAGGCTGTGGAGGCAGCACGGATGGCCAAGCTAATAGCCCAGGACCTGCAACCCATGCTAGAGGCCCCAGGTGAGGTGTGGGCACCCCCAGGAGAGAGGTGAGAGCGCTGTGGAGAGCTGGAGAGGCTCAAGCATGGGGAAAGCAGTTGCAAGCCCCTATAGGGGACTAGGGATGGGGGAAGTCCAAGTGGATAGCCAGTGGGGGCCCATGCCAGTTGGGGAGTGAGGCTGGGAAGTTATGAAGCAGGGTAATGGGGCGGAGGGGAGGCGGCTGGTCACAGTGAAAGCCTATGAGCCTGGGAACACCAGGTCTGAGGAGCACACAGTTGGCATAAAGCTGCAGCCTCTCCAGCCCAAGACCAGGCAGACCCCCCTGATTCTTAGCATCCCCCCACCCTCCAGGCCGCAGACCCAGACAGGACTCAGAAGGTTCCGACACAGAGCCCTTGGATGAGGACAGCCCTGGGGTGTACGAGAATGGACTGACTCCCTCAGAGGGCTCCCCCGAACTGCCCAGCAGTCCTGCCTCCTCCCACCAACCCTGGCGACCCCCCGCCTGCCGGAGCCCACTGCCTCCTGGAGGGGACCGGGGTCCCTTCTCCAGCCCCAAAGCTTGGCCTGAGGAGTGGGGGTGCCCGGGAGAACAGGCAGAGGAACTCGCTGGCTATGAGGCTGAGGATGAGGCTGGGATGCAGGGGCCGGGGCCCAGACACGGTTCCCCACTCCTCGGAGGCTGCAGCGACAGTTCAGGAAGTCTTCGAGAGGAGGAAGGGGAAGACGAAGAGCCCTTGCCCCAGCTGAGAGTCCCAGGAGGCTCAGAGCCCGAGCCCGTCACCACACCGGTCCTGAGGGGCCCATCCTTGAGGGGTCCCGATGCTGGGTGCCTGACGGAAGAGCTTGAAGAGCCTGTTGCAACTGAGAGGCCTGCCCAGCCGGTGAGATACCCTCCATCCCCGTGGTGCCCTCTCGCCCCCCAAGCCTTGCCTCCCAACCTTCCCAGACCTCTGTCTGGTCCTCTGAGGGCTTTGATTCCAAGTCAGCCTCCTCTCTGCCCCGCCAGCCTTGGCCATAGCCCACCTCAGAGAGAGAGAGAACGAGAGAGAGAGACTTTTTATGCTGGAAGGAACCTTAGAGACCTTTGAGTCCAACTCCCCCACTTGACAAACTGGGAGACTGAGGCCCAGAGCACTTCAAGTGACTTGCCCAAGGTTACAAACTAATAATTAACGGGGAGCCAGGGCATCTCCGTGCTCTCCTTCCATATCATTTCCAGCTCCCAGTTTCCTACTCCACCCCCACCCCCACCTCCGCACTTTCTCTCTTTGGTGTCCAGAAATAAAAAAGGAAAAGATTGTTCCCTCCCTACCCTGACTCTCCCTCCCTCTCCTGGGAAGAAGGGAAATAGGAAAGAAGGCAGAAAACCCAGGGAGGTGGAGTTTCCCAGAACCCTCTACTCTGATTGGACTCCAGGCCTCCTCCTGTTTCCTAGCAACCACATCCTCACCCCTCCATCCCTGTGCCTTACTGCAGTACGCTGCTGCTGCCAATGTCTGCTACTAAGGCTAGGCACCTTCTGCCTGGGCCACATGATATGCTGGTGGGAGGGGCGTGGAGGGAGAGGAAGGAGGCGCTGTCCCTGCCTTCAGAGGACCAGAGAATAGGTGGAACTCTGCCTGGGGAAGAGGGTGTTTTGCAAGCCAAAGGCTGGAGAGCCCCTGCTCCAGCCTCTGCTGGGAGGTACCTGGGACCCTTCTGCTCTACCACCTCTGCCAGGGCAGGAAGATGGGACGTGGCACTGGACTTGACATGGACTGAGCCTGCTTCCCTCCTGTCTCTCTTAGGGAGCTGCCAACCCCCTGGTGGTGGGAGCCGTGGCCCTCCTGGACCTCAGCCTGGCATT